TTTTCCAGCTAGGGAATATGAGGTTCACACTTGAGCCAGGGCTAGAGAACTTTTTGCTTGTAAGTTCTACAGGTTATTTTGTGTTCATTAGTGATACTTGCTCAGTAAATATAAGTTATGCTGTGAGTTCAGTTTAACTTAACACAGATAGATAGGCCTGGTAAGAAATTCTTCACTTGCAAAGCTTAATGATGAAGGAGAAAAGCCCAGGCTTTATTTCTGCTCTAATCCTTTTTGGAACAAGACGAAGTTCATATAAACAGACAGCCAAGTGTCACATTCTTCAGTGTTTATTTGATCATTTTCTGTTGGCAAAATACACTGCAATGATGATGGACTATTGCTTACCTCTTCCACCTGCTGAGGCTTCCAGGGAACTGTGAGATCTTCAGGCCAGGGGGTTAACACAACTGTGACATCTAGCATCCTGTTGCTGGTCTTAGGACTGGAGAGTATGAGGCTGAGCCAGTTGGGACTATAGCAGGTCACATGTAATTGCTAAGGTAGCTGTCATAGCCTTTGGCTGTTTTTCTCCTGGACCCTCTGTGGAAGTGCCATTGAGGTATGGGGAATAGGGTGGGGACATTCTCGTTTATGTACCCCTTACATAGGTCTCCCTACCCTCTTGGTGTGGGTTGGCATTAGAGCATAGCTTGAAGAGGACATGGAAGTGCCAGTGTAGGTCAAGGTGGGCACTGTTTGGGGAGGAGGCAGCAACCCTCCCCCATATGGTCAGAGCCTCATGGCAGTGGCCATTCAGCATCTGGAGCCATCCTAAACTCTCTTCCTCACTTCCCTGCCTACCCTTGTCCAGAACTTACCCCTGTTTCTGCACTCCCATATCTCTTCCAAGATGATGACAGCAGCATCTTCAATGTCCCTGGCTTCCAGTCTTGTCCTCTCCTTTCCATTTGGCCAGCTGGATCTTTCCAAACCATAAATTAGATTGTGTCATAACCCTGCCTCCAACCTGCCAGTGGCTTCCCATTGCACTTGAAGAAAAATTCAGATCTCACCCTCTGGTCTTGTGTGATCACTGTGAGATATGGCCCCAGCCAGCCTCTCATAGTTCCCTCACATGGTTCTCCCACATGTACACATCCTTTCCCTGGCTAGCTGTCCTGCTCCCTAGCTCCTCATGGTCATAGGCTCAGAACCCCTTCCCAGTCTGAAATACAATACTGAGGAACCCAAAGAGGTTTTCTTATGTAGATTATAACTGCCAGTGTTCATGGCACTAGAAATTAAGGCTAAGAAATAGTCTCAATAATTAATAAATCTATTATATGAAAACATAAGTGACATGGTTTTCTATGAACAGTAACTGTCTTCAAAAACAAAAATAGAGTCAGGGGGATAGCTCAGCAGTCTAAGCACCTGTCTGGCAAATGCAAGGACCCAGGATAGATCCCCAGTACTGCATGCTGTGCCAGCCACCAAGCTAGCCACAGAAACCAGGCATGATGGTGCATGCCTATAATCCCAGCACTGGGGAGACTGAAACAGGAGGATCACTATGAGTCCAAACTGTGTAGTAAGACCCTGTACCAACACATAAATATAATAATAAAATAATAATTTTATACTTTTGCAGATCTATTTAATACCTAGGGCTTAATAGAAAGCAGATGGACTCTCCTCTACCTCTGCTTTCAGTCTGTTTTGACAGCATACATTATGTGGCCTCTGGAAAACTCCTTAGTGCACTCCTGGGAAAGTAAATATAAAAGGAAAATTATGGCTTACTGTATTTAGCAAAACAAGGATTCCCAAACTCAATTTGAGAACCACTGCCCTAGGTCACAGAGCGCTTTCCTGCCCTAGGGCCTTTGCATTAGATACTCTTCTCTAGATCCAACTCATTGCTCAGGCCCAGCCCCCTGTGCTTTGTCCTCCAAGAGACCTTTTCTTGTGACTCTACTGGCCAAAGTTATGCTTCCCTGCCATCATATTGTTTTCTGTTTCATTTTCTTCATAACACCACACACACATTACCCAGCTGACACATTTGTGTGCCCATCCATGACCTCTCTTCCCTGGTAGGAAGAAAATTGCCTGTCTGGGGCCATCATCTGTCCGCTCACTGCAGCATCTAGCACTGTGGCTTCCTTCAGTATATGTTGAATGATAAACAAGCCTGCATTTGTTTCCATGCAGAGGCCTTCTCCTTTGTCCAAATACCAGAAAGACAATAAAGTTCCCTCCAGGACCATAAACATTGGATGGTTTAGTCTGTAACTCTGACAAGACAGCACAGGAGCATTGAGACCCCAGAAATCTGAAGTATATTCTTCCATTTAATTTCTATAGTCAAAGTGACCAAGCTGTTTGTCTGTCTCCAGGCGTATGAGTTGGATGCCTGTCTACTGAATTGCACCACCCTCACCTTGAGTAAGGTGAAACTCAGTAGAGTGGGGCTGGATGGGAGGTGAGCTAGTGGTTGGCAAATATTAGAAGCCTGCCCAAGAGGGCCATGGCACTGCAGCATCCGCAGCTGCCATCAGGGGTCTGCAGCACCGGGCACAGCCCTTTCTACCTTCTAGAATGATGTCCTTGGCCATAGACTGTACTGTTACAAAGCCAGGCTATATGAGATTTTTGCTTCTGCCTGGGGAATAATTCACAAGGAAGCAAACAACTGTGGCCACGTGCCTCAGGATGGCACTATTAGAGTTTGCTTTATTAGAATACCTCTTCCAATTTTATCTGCTTGTTCAGTTAATTATCATACGGTAGTTTGTCTCACCTTTAGAAGCTATAAATTATTATATTTGATGAAAATATACCTTGAATTTCCTTGGAGGACATATTAAAAGAGAGTGTAAATCAGCGCTAATAGGTGACTAGCCACTCGTATGTTTTTCTCCTGCCATTCAGCTTAGTAAGAAATCACAAAATCTGCTTATAAGTCAGTTTGATGTTTGTGGTTCTTGTCTCTATGTATTCGGCTCTATGGGGGAGAAGTTCAAGTGCATACCCTATCTAGCAGGGAGGGCTCCGTGGTGACTGATATGCACAGGTGAATAAGGCACTTGGCCTGCACCCCTGTGATTAAGGCACTTAGGGAGCTACAGCTGAAGCTGCTTTCCAGAATCTGCCATGCTGAGCAGGTTGTCCAAAATCAGCCCACCAGGCCATTTTCCCACAGCTCCAGGTGGCCCTTCCCCAGGGCTGTGACCTCCCTGAGCACTGGCTGCCTGCAGGTGCTCACCTGGTGGGTGTAGTGGTATGGGGAGAGCTAACAGATCACAGCCTGAGGCATCTGCCAGCCCTCATTGGTGGGGTCTCAGTGACCCTCTCCCTCGCCTACTAGCTTGGGCTTTCTCACTGCTCTCCAGCCTGTTTAAACTCTTTCCATGCTGGACTGGGGATGGTAGTTCAGTAATAAAGCATGAGGCGCTTAGTTACATCCTTTTTTTTTTT